TGTTTTCCTCTCAGAATCTTGGGCGTGCATGCATATGTGCCCAGCATGTTTTAAGCTACCAGGTCCAGGGCTTGAACTGTGGTCAATTGTGTGAGCCCAGCAACGTAACCAGTATACTACCTACTGGTTCCCAAAATGCAATTTTAAAATTTTTTCATTTTAAAAAATTTGCTACAGGGCACATCAGCTCGCCAGAGAGAGAGAAACCAAGCCTCCAGGTCTAGGACTTAAGCCATGGTCAGCCATGTGGGAGTCCAGCACCTTAACCACTATGCCACCTGCTGGCCCCTAAAGTACAGATTTTTTAAAGAATAAAAAGATTTGGGGCCAGCAGATGGCATAGCAGTTATGTCACTGGACTCCCACATGGCCGACTGTGATTTGGGTCCCTTACCTGGTGGCTTGAAAATTATGCTGGGCACATGTGTGTGTGTGGCTGCCCAAGATCCAGGAGAATGGAGAAGGGATTTTGGCCTGACCATCTTCCCTGGGGGGGAAGGGGGTGATTACTCACTTTCCCTTTTGCTGTCTCTTTCTCTGTGTGTGTGTATATACACACATATAAAATCTATTAACTGAAACATGATTTTCTCAGTTTGAATGAGTTGAGATTCTAGTTGAATCCTACATATCAAATATTTTGTGTGATACAATGATTTCTCTAGTTTTAAGAGTACAAAAAAGTAGTTTCAGTTAGCAAAAAGCTCATAGTAGTAGGTAGGTTTTAAGAGGTCTGATGAGAAAATAAAATTTTGATACAAAAATGAAAAGCATTTATCTTAATTCTGTACATAAGAATATATAGGTAAGGGACCAACAGTTGGTGTAATGGCTGTTGCTGGACTTCCATGTAATTGACCGTGGTTCAAGTCGTAGACCCGGTGGCTCCAACTCATGCTGGGTGTGTGTACGTGCATGCTCAAGATCCCAAGAGGAGAATGGAGAAGGGATTGTGGCATGGCCATCCCCTCTGTGTGTGTGTGTGTGTGTGTGTGTGATTTCTTGCTTTCTGTCTTTCTGGTGAGTGCTGTGCCCTATAGCAAAAACCTCTCCAAAAAAGAAAAAGAATATAGGTAAGAAACTATGGTTTAAAGAAATTACCTAGCCCAAAGTCAGTCAGGTGGTTAGTAGCAAAATAAGTCTTTAGATAATTAATTTGATGTTTTCTTCTACTTAATTTTTAGTATTCTTTATTTTCCATAGTTGCCCATAGTTTAATATGCTGCCATAAAACTGGTTGTTGCTTTACACTAAAACTTGATATCAGTAATCTACTTTACTGATCTGTGAAGACGTATCTGTGAAGCTCCCTAGAGTTCACAAAGTGAATCTCTATAAAAAATTATCATTACACTGATTAACAGCTTCAGTATACTCTAATTCATGCTTCATGCTTAGGTATAGTACTCAGCACATCATAGTGCTCTTTAAATTTTAAATAAAAACAAATTTCAAACTTCTTTTGCTATTAATTCACATCAGACAAAGCTATATTTTATATTTATGGGGAACTTCAAAAATTTGTGTTTATTTTTGTGCAAAAACCCATGTGTTTTTAATATGAATATTCCATTAACTTTTTGAAGACTCCTCATATAGGACAGCACCATCTATATCCAAGCTATTTCAAAATGATGAATCAATATTTATAAAGTGAAATGTATGAAGGCATATATTTGGAGGAATACATTGGGTTGTTAGAAAAGTCATGATGGGGACCAGCAGTTAGCGTAATGGCTATGTCACTGGACTCCCATGTAGTCGACCGCAGTTCATGTCCTGGACCCGGGGGCTTAAAACTCACGCCGGGTGCATGTGCGCACATGCCCAAGGATCCCGAGAGGAGAATGGAGGAGAAGGGATTGTGGTGTGGCCATCCCCCCCGGGGGGGTGAGTGATTTCTTGCTTTCTGTCTCTATCTGTCTGGCGAGCGCACATGCCCTATAGCAAAAAACCTCTTAAAAAAAAAAGTCACGATGTTTTTTTGCAAAAATGTATAATGACTTTTGTGACCACCCAATAGAAAAGGTTTAATTTTTTCCCACTATCTTAAATGGAAGAATTTTCTTGCATTAAAACATTTTCTTTCTTTACATTTATTTTTAATTTTATTACTATCATTTTCCAATTTGACCAGAGAGAGAGAAAGTGAGAAAACATGCTCGACCATGTGGGAGTCCAGAGCCCCAACCTCCATTCCACTTGCTGTCCCAAGTGGTGTGGTGGGTTGAAGTGCTGGACTCCCACACAGCCGACTGAGGTTCGAGTCCCAGTCCTGTTGGTTTGCTTTCTTACTTTTCCTTTCTCTCTCTCTCTCTTTCTGGTCAAATTAAAATAATAAAAGCAAATAAAATTAAATTAAAAAAAACTTTTTTTTTTCTCTCTACAACTGTATATTAGGGATAGGACATAGCAAAAATATTTTCAACTTTAAATTCATCTTTGTTTTTTGCCGTGTCAAAAACCCTTCATGTGCTCACCCAATGCTTTCCTTTCTCCCAAATGTGTACTTTGTTTTTCTAAGAGAGATTTTTGCTATAGTGCGTGTACTTGCCAGAGAGACAGAGACAGAAAGTGAGAAATCACCCCATGGGGGGATGGCCACACCACAATCTCTTCTCTTGGGAACTCATGCACACACACCTGGCATGAACTTTAAGTCTCTGGATCCAGGATTTGAACTGTGGTCGAGTATGTGGGAGTCCAGTGGCGTAATCATTCCGCCATCTGCTGGTCTCATCCAAATAATTACTATTAACTTCCCACTTACAAGCCAACACTTGGTGATTACTGCACAACAGACACTGTTCTAAGTGGTTTATATATATATATATATATATATAAATATATAAATATAAATTTACTTCTCATAATGACAATAGTAGGGAAAAGCCATTATCCACACTTTAGATGGAAAAAAATAAAAAAGGAAAACAGATTAAGTAACTTGCCCAACATAACACATCCTAGGTGATGAAGTTGGGGTAGGAACCTGGCTTTTCTAATTACAGTCTGCTTTTAATCATTGTTATATGGCTTCTAGGTAAACTAGAAAGGGGATAAAATAACAACAGTATGTAGATGAAGGGAATAAAACTTGGAGATCAACTGCCTCAGAACTGCCCTGGGAAAATAACTCAAAACCTATACTTTTTTCTAATATTCTATATCGGAAAAGGAAGTAGAGGATTGGGCTCCAAAACCAAAAAGGCTGAGGTGAAATCCTGGCTCTGCCACTTAATAGCTGTGTGGCCTTGAGAAAGGTATTTCTCTTTGCCACAGTTTCCTCATCTTCAAAATGTGGATACTGGAATTTACCACATGGGGTTGTTGTGATGAATAAGGAAATAAGTACTTATAAAGTGCTCACAAAAGTAGTTTGGAAGGCACTGTTATTTTTATCTTCAACCTCTCTATAAGAAAACAGAACATAAATTTGGCATGTGTCAGTACTACTTCACAAAGTTACTGTAAGGATTAAATGAGATAATATACGACTGGTACATGCCAAGTGTGTAACAGTAACATGGAATTACTTGTATTTCTAGCAGCTTGCACAATGCTTAAGGGATAAAGTGACATAGTTAACTCATCTTTTGGCATTTCTTACTAGTTATAATCCTCTGTGGCATCATCCTAAATACAGTCAGGCAATGCTTAAGGACATAGATCCAAGAAATGTGTTAGTAGGCGATTCTGTCATTATGAAATATCAATGTACTTACACAACCTAGAAGGTAATCTGTTACACACCTAGGTTAAGTGATATTTTATTATAATCTTATGGGACTGCTGCTGTACGCACATAAACCCATCACAGCCTGAAATGTCATTATACCCCACATAACTGTATTTTCTAAAGGTTTACACATTCTTTTTCTTAAGAATTAATCTTATTTTTATTATTCTAATATTCCCAGAGAGAGAGACAGAGAGAGAGAAGAGGAAAAGAGAGAGGGAGAAAGGGAGAAAGGAAGCCTCCATGTCTGGGACTCAAACCACAGTTGGCCATGTGGGAGTCCAGTGCCCTTAAACACCATGCCACCTGCTAGCCCCCATAACAGTATTTTTTTTTTTTGAGAGATTTTCATTGTAGGGCGCGTGCACTCGCCAGACAGACAGAGAGACAGAGAGAGAGAGACATAGAGACAGAAAGCGAGAAAGCACCCCCCAGGGGGGATGGTCATGCCGCAATCCCTTCTCCTCTGTTCTCCTCTCAGGATCTTGGGCACGCACGCACACGCGCCCGGCGTGAGTTTTAAGCCACCAGGTCTGGGACATGAACCACGGTCGACTATGTGGGAGTCCAGCGACATAGCCATTACGCTAACTGCTGGTTCCCCCCATAACAGTATTTTTAAGTTAACCATTTCAAAACTTTTTCCCTACTTTAAGACCACAGTAACTGCAAAGAAAAATGTTAACTGTTACCACCTGAAGTGGCCACTAATCTAGTAAAAATCATACCAAATTTTTAGCAAATGGAGTATGAGTGCAAATGGAGTATGAGTTCAAACAGCAATCACTTCAAGTCACCGGCCCAGAGGGGAAATGGAATTTTTACCTTTTCACCACATAAAGGACTATCAGAAATATTTACAATTGATGTAATTAAGGCATGTCCTTTCTTTTCTACTTTTAACTGAAACTCCTCTTCATCCCCATGCTTTTACCACACAGAATATTATTAACAAGTATAATATTAACAAGTATTCTAAAATTACAATTAGGTCAATGAAATATACGTCAGAACCATGTTATAAGGTATCTTACAAAGGAGATTATTGTCAAAGGTGCATTTTATATGAAAAGTTATGTGTTCTAAATTCAATGAATGCTCCACAACAGCTGTGAAATTTTCCTAATACTTGACGGAGAAAGAACTTTTTTCAACACCATCTCTCTTCCCACGCACTTTCAATATTGCTCCCACAGTTCTTAGTATAAATCTTAATAAATATAAAATCAAAGGACAAATAAATTGACCAACGACACAAATATCCCTATTGGTAGGAAATGTATTAACTTTAAGGTTGGGTATTATGTATTAATACAATCACTTTGGTTAATAATAAAAATTCATTGACCTAAATTTATTGCCAAAAACCCATAAACTAGGAAAAACCTTTACTTAAGCTTAATGCTCTTTTTAACTCCTGCACGAATGCCAGATAATTCACCACTGTAACGTTGCTCTTCTCTACGAACTTCACGAACCTGGCCTCTTCTTCGAATTTTGGCTCTTCTAAACTTCTCCCTGTGTTTCACTCTGGGATTGCGATCAATCTTCTTTCTTCTAGGAGTAAGTCCTCTGTTTTTAGCAATCTGATATGTAATGGCTCTCTTTGTATTTTGATCTTCAAGAGCCTGTTCTTCAGGGCTATTTTCTTTCTTTCTCTTCAACTTCTGCCCATCTTCTAGTTCTTTATAGTATTTCAGTGCAGCTTCTTTATCCAAATCGGAATCATCAGAAGGATCTGTCATAGCAGAGGCAGCAGCTGAAGTCTCTGAAATGACCTTTGGCTTGGTTTTGGTAGGTTTTACTTTTGGATTCAGTTTTTCCTTTACAGCACCATCCTTAAGTGTGAGTAGATGACGAATTTCGGAGGACAGCTTCTGATCCACAACAGACAGCTCGTTGATCAAATTTCGGTAGGTAACAAGCCTTTCTATGACAGGATGTCCATGTGCAGGCACTCTCCGAGCTTTCAGGATCAAGTAAAAACTGATGTTGGAGCAATAGTTCAAGTAGAGATTATACTTGGTCCACAAGTATTGGCTTCCTTTTCCAGGTGGAATGATCCCTCGTTCCACCAACTGTAACAATGGCTCCAGCTCATCTTTCACTACTGTTAATTTAACTTTCAGATCGTCTATCAGCTCCAAGAGCTCTGGTGATTCCTTCCGCAACATCTTTAACTTCTCTTTCACCGATACTTTGGCCAAATCCTTCACGACCCGCGTCTCAGCCTCATCTACCTGAGGCACCGGTTTTGCAAAGGCCTCCACCCAAGCGACCCCAAAATCATCCTCTTGCAGGGCTTGGGCTAAGCGCCGCTGAATGACTTGTGCCTCCTCCTCCTCCTCTCTTTCTTCTTCCTCTACTTCTTGTTGACTTTGCCGGCCTCGGGCCTTGGAACCATAGTCCGTGTCATAGTAAAGTTTTTTCCTCTGACCCCACGACAAACTGGGATCTACAGAGTCCTCAGCCTCACTCTGCACCGAGCTCCCACCATCCTCCTCCTCGTCCTCCTCCTCACTGCCTCCATCTTCATCGTCCTCATCGTCAATATCTAAAGGTAGTACCTCCTCCTCCTCATCTCCATCCTCCTCATTCCCACTCTCTACTTCGCTCCAACCCTTAGCCAAGACGGCTCGGGATCGTGCCTCGTGGAAATCATCTACCTGATCTTGGTAGTAGCTGGAGTCCCCGGGGGAGGGTGGTAGTCCCACATCGTCTTCAGTTTCGTCCGCAGGGGTGCTACCTGCCTTGGCTCGAACAGCTGCCCACCTGGCCGCTCCGCGCCGCCGGGATCTCCCCACCATGGCTCACACACGGTCTCAGTTCCACAGTAAAGCCCGGTTTTCGAGCACTTCTGGCCTCTGTGCACGAACCACGCGCTCCAGCAACACACCGCCTTAAACAACAGCGCGCGCTTCCCTACCACGCGAGTTTGCAAACTCCCAAGTCGGCTGCAGGAGTTTTCACTTCCTTCCGGCCCCCAGGATGCTCTCGGCGTAGCGTGAACGACGACTTCCGCTGGGTCTAGAGTAACATGGATAACTCTTCGCTGTACCTTTTAATGATAATCGATTCCAATGAATTAAAATCTTTCCGTGTAGAAACAATAGACTATAGAAGTTCCGTTCCGCAGAGACCTTTCCAGCGACGTCTGTATTTACTCTCGCGAGACTGGACGTGGCTTGTGGGGCGGGGAATCGGGACGGCGCCGCGAGGCGCGCTCGAAGGGAGCAGTAGAGGGCGCTGTATGTCTACGTCAGAGAGCGCCGGCAGTCGTTTAGTGTACGGTACAGTGTCCGACGACAGCGAGGAGGAGCTCCACGCTGGCTGTTAAAAGTTTTGCGGCTTGCTGGGTGTGTCTTCTCCTCTCCACTTATCCTTCTGGAAGTTAGTCAGTTTGTTTTTCCGTTGTTGTTTTTTTTTCCTGCACGTTGCAAACGACACATTTCTAGGTCCCACAGTCTGAGGTGGCTACGGCGGTAGGGTCGGCGGCCCCCCGACTCCCAATATTTTACCGTTGGCGTTGGGGCGCGAGCGCAGGCCGGGGTGCGGGCCGCGTTTATCTCTACCCACTCCTTCTCGTTGCCCTCAGGGCTCGGGGTTTTGTGTCTCCTGGGCCTCAGGGTGACGCTGGGTAGGCAGAGCGCCCGTGCAGTGAGGCCCTCTCCTCAGACTCTCGAGGGGTCTCGGGATGATCCCTGAGAAGGGGAAAGCAGCGCTGTTCCTTTTTCTTTTAGGTAAGAGATTCGTTCTTCAAAATACTTGGGAAATGACACATTTTAATTCTCAGAAACATCCCTGTGTTTTGTAATTCTTCACCATTGTTAAATCACCAAACGCGACAGTCAGCATAGTAGGCAGCAAGGGGGAAGCTGATGGCTTGTGCTGTAGCGGGGACACGCGTTACCCAAGTAATACAGAGCACGTGGAATTGTGACTGGACATAAACACCGAATGCATACCACACTTGTTCTACGTTAGTCAGCCCCAGCAGCTGCAGACAGCATGACATTTTACATCTTTCTTTGAACGCACCACCTCCCGTGCTTAAAAAGTTAGTACTCCTGTCTAATCCTGGGGAATTCGCCAATTGTATTCAAGAGAGCCTGAGCATCGGGTCTTTGATCTCCTAGTTAAATTTCTTGGTTGTGTTTTCTTTACTTCCCCACATAACTTAGAAGTTATCTACAAATACTGATATTTCAGGTATCTTCTATCTCAGATGCTACATAAAATCGAGTGAGTGAATGTTTACCAAGGCCGGACATATCTCCAAGCGAAATAACTTGGGCAGGAATAGATTTCACAAATCATTAATTCCAACTACTTTATTTTATGCATGTGGAAACAGATTTGGGAAGATTAGACTAACAAGTCTGGCACAGAAATTGGGGACAGGGCTCCCATACCAAGCTTTCACATTTAGCTATTAGTCCTTTGCCTCTTTAATGTGAATAAATTTCTTTTTAAAATTTTTATAATTTTTGTAAGAATTATTTTATTTAACTTTATTTATTCACTTTAAATTTGACCAGAGAGGGTCAGAATGAGATAGGGAAGGAAAGTGAGAGAGCAAACCACCAGGTCTGAGGATAGATTTTATTTGATTGGTGAAAAAACTCAAGAGCACAAATTAAATGATCTAAGGAAGAGGGTGGTAAGGGGAAAAGGACCTGTTCTTTAAAAGTGTTTTTAGGGGGACCAGCAGATGGCATAATGGTCAAGTCGCTGGATTCCCATGTACTCAACTGCAGTTGGAGCCACAGACCAGTGGTTTAAAACTCATGGAGAGCACGTATGTGTGCATGCCCAAAATCCTGATAGGAGAAGAATGGAGGAGAAAAAAATTGCTGCGTGGCCATCCCTGACCTCACCCCCAACCCAGTGAGTTCTCATTTTCTGTCTCTCTGGCGAATGCATGCACCCTATAGTAAAAAATCTCTCCGTGGGGAAAAAAAAAGTGTTATTAGGACTAGACATGTAAACAGGCTGCCCTGTAATCTCAGAGTAATTTAAGGTGTAGGTTTTAAGACATTACATATGGTGGATTCAGAGTTAGTATTATGATACATTACATATGGTAGATTCAGAGTTAGTATTATGACATCTTTTAGTGTAGGTGATTGCAAGCTGAATTTTTTTTTTTTTGGAGAGGTTTTTTTTTTTTTTGCTATAGGACGCGTGCGCTCGCCAGACAGACAGAGAGAGACATAGAGACAGAAAGCGAGAAATCACCCCCCAGGGGGGATGGTCACACCGCAATCCCTTCTCCTCCATTCTCCTCTTGGGATCTTGGGCAGGCACGCACACGTGCCCAGCGTGAGTTTTAAGCCACCGGGTCCGGGACGCGAACCGCGGTCGACAACATGTGAGTCCAGCAACATAGTCATTATGCTAACTGCTGGTTCCCCAAGCTGAATGTTTTATACATTGCTAAAATTAATGGTGACATGTGATTTCTCTGCAGAGAGTGGTGACACTAGATAAAGAAAAAACATTTTATTGGGGACCAGCAGTGCTATGTTGCTGAACTCCCATGTAGTTGACCACAGTTCGAGTCCCAGACCCGGTGGCTTAAACTCATGCTGGGCACATGTGCGTGCGTGCCCAAGATCCCGAGAGGAGAATGGAGGAGAAGGGATTGTGGCGTGGACATTCCCCCTGGGGGGTCATTTCTCTCTTTCTATCTCTCTGTCTCTCTCTGTCTTTCTGGTGAGTGCACGCGCCCTATACCAAAAACCTCTCCAAAAAAAAAACCCCAAAAAAACATTTTATTTAGGACATCTCAGGAGTTACCAAGGCCAGCAGGTAATTTTTTAAAAAAAAATTTATTTATTTTTTTTAAGAAAGATTTTTTTTCTTTTTCTTTTCTTTTCTTTTCTTTTCTTTTCTTTTCTTTTCTTTTTTTTGGGGGGGGAGAGGTTTTTGCTACAGGGTGCGTGCGCTCACCAGACAGAGAGAGAGAGACATAGAGACAGAAAGTGAGAAATCTCCCCCCCAGAGGAGATGGTCATGCCACAATCCCTTCTCCTCCATTCTCCTCTTGGGATCTTGGGCATGCACGCACGCACATGCGCCCGGCGTGAGTTTTAAGTCACCAGGTCCGGGACGTGAACCGCGGTCGACTACGTAGGAGTCCAGCAACATAGCCATTACGCTAACTGCTGGTTCCCAAGAGAGATTTTTTTCTATAGGGCAAAAAATAGGGCACATGCAGTCACTGGAAAAACAGATGCAAAGAGAAATCACCCCCAGGAAGGATGGACATGCCGCAATCCCTTCTCTTCCATTCTCCTCTTGGGATCTTAGGCATGCAGTCACATACATCTGACATGATTTTTAAGCCACCAGATCCAGGACTTGAACCACGGTTGACTGTGGGAGTAGAGAGATGCAACCATTACGCCATCTGCTGGTCCAGTGAGTAGGGTTTTTAAAAATTATTTTATTTGACTTTATTTGTTTGTTTATTTATTTATGTTTGACTAGAGAGGGACAGAGTGAGAGAGAGGGGGAAAGTGAGAAAGCAAGCCGCCAGGTCTGGGACTCATCCATGGTTTACCAAGTGGGAGTCCAGTGCCCTTAACCACCATACCACCTGGCGGCTCCCCTGGCCAGTAGGTGTTAAAAAGACTTCTTTCTTTCTTTTTCTTTTTTTTGTCTTACTCTAAGTCTTTCTGACTATAGAAAGTAGGAGTCTGTGAATGACATGCTAGGCAATACTTCATTCTGGGAATGTGTTTTGGATTTTGAAGATACTCTTTTTTTTTTTTTTTTTTTACAAAGAGTTTTTTTTTTCTCAAGAGAGATTTTTGCTATAGGCTGTGTGTGCTCACCAGAGATGCAGAAAGTGAGAAATCACTGCCCCGGGGGCATGGTCACACTGCAATCCCTTCTCCATTCTCCTCTCGGGATCTTGGGCATGCACACACTCATGCCCAGCATGAGTTTTAAGTTGCTGGGTTTGGGACTCGAGCTTCGGTTGATCACATGGGAGTCTAGCGATGTGACCATTATGCCATCTGCTGGTCCTGGATTTTGAAGATACTCTAACACTAGATTAATTTAAATTGATTTCTGTTTCTTCCTGACTATTGAAACCATAATAATAATAGTAAACATTGATAGTGGTTATTATGCACCGGGTACTATTATAAGCTCTTGATAGTCAACCCTACTAACAAGATTTTGTAATAATCTCTTATTTAGCGATGAGAAAATGGAGGCATATGGAATTTAAATAAGGTCATAAAGCTAGTATGTAGTAGAATTAGTTCAGCACCAAGATTGTCTAGCTTTAGAATCCACCCTGTGCTATAACTATCGCACTATACTGGTTTCAAATATTCCTTCAAAAGTCTCAATTTTATTCTCTGTGTTACCGTTGATCCAGTGTCATTAGATATATTTTCCTAGAATTAAATTGCATCACCCAACACCCTGATTCAAAAACTTTATTTTTGGCTTTTGCCATGGGGTGTGTGCACTTACCAGAGAGAGAGGCAGTGAGAGGGAATGTGAGAAACCAGCCCCCCGCCCCCCCAGGGGGATGGTCACACTGCATTCCCTTTTCCTCCATTCTCCTCTTGGGATTTTGGGCAAGCATGCACATGTGTCTGGCATGATTCTCAAGCCACTGGGTCCAGGACTTGAGCTGCAGCCCACCTTGTGGGAATCCAGCGCCTCAACCACTGTGCCACCTGGTGGCCTGTGGTTCAAAAACGCTTAATGATTCTAAATTACTATCAAGATAAAACATACAATAGCATACATGACTGTTCTAAAATTTTGCCCCAAAACAATTTTTTCCGCTATACTTTCCATCATTCCTGTGCTAAACCTTTCCTTCTAATCCAAATGTATTATGATATGTTGTTCTTTAAACATTACTTTAAAATTGATTTCTCTGTAACTTTGCTCCTCTTTGAACATTCACAAATTGACAAGTTATAGGTTTTTTTG